AGATGTGTATTATGAAGATGCAAATTTTTAGTATATTTCAGAACTGATTTCTAAAACATGATGAACAATTATAATAAAGTAAAAATAATAAAACATACCTGCAAAAAGAAAGTAAAAAAGGAAATTATCCCAAGTACTAAAAACAGTAGTGAATATAAGTTGCTCTGTTCTCTTAAAATGTCCTTGTCCGTTTCTGAAAAAATCTGTAAGAACAATATTTAAAACAACATTTTTTAAAATCAACTAACAATCTACAATACTCCCATTTTCTCAATAACTAAGTTTGGTAGTTATTTGCATTCCTATAAAATTTGAGCATATGTTACATATGATTATAAGGTTATATGAAGATTTTTAGGATTTAGTAAATATCATATGATTTTTCAAATGTTTGCAATAGTGCTTCATCCACTCTTCAACTTCATTATGCAGTGATTGCTTTAAACCTAATTTTATTAGAAACTAATTTTGTGTAAATATAATTTTTTGCATATTTTACTCCAACTTACCCCTATAATTTCAGAAAATATGATCGCAAATCCAGGTTGTAAAGCTCCATTGATAACTGCACATAAGGTTCCAGCTACAAAGTATGGCCATTCAGTTTTGTTTAACTTCATAATTTTCAAAAATGAAGCTGGAGGTAATTTTTCCTCCTAAAAAATGGAAATTCTGTTAGGACAGGCATGAACATTTGGAGAAATAGGGAGAAAAAGAGAGATTAATAATCAATTTCCTCCTCTCAGAATCTAGTCAGAGGAAGTAAAAATGTATACTTTTTAATAACATGAATAAATGTACAAAACTGTAAAAAGCTGATTGTACATTTCTTTTTATTATTCTAATACAAGGAAGAAAGAGCTGTTACGCTACATCTACAGCTCTTGTCATTGTATATTAGTTTATTGATGTAATTTTTGTTGGTGAATACTCTTGGTATTGGTCAATGGTGACTGAACTATTAACTCTGGGCATATTGCTGTCTGTAATCCATGACTAGATTAATTGAAGTAATTGTTTACTAAGCATTTATAACAGCAAAGTAATCACTGTAAATATGAATGCAACCATATTTGGGGGGGGGGGTTGAAAGTCTTATTGTAAGAGTTCTATGTTGGGCCAAATGCTCTGTTAAATGAATGTTTAACCCGTATAGACTATGTCAGTATGTTATGCAAATATGCATAAGTGTATTTCTTTTAAACTTAATTGATTTTCAATAATAAACTCATCAACCTTGTTATAGACTTTTAAAGTCCCATTTTATTTGTATTGTCATTCATGTTCAGAATAAAAAAACAAGCTGTGAATATTAACAGTTGAAGGCTATTTAGAATTTAAAAATTCTCGTGGTTTTTTTCACCCCTATCAAATGCCTCCTTCTTCTTGTATCTTTCTTGAGCAGGAGAATGAATTTAACATACCTCTTTCAAAGGAATCGAATTCACTAACATCTCTGCAAAGATACTTACAGGTGAACTTTTTTTCTCATCAGGGCCATCATCGTTCTCTCCTGCCTTTTTCATGCTTCTCTGAGTTGACCGTCTTCTCAATCCTCTTGTTAGGGATTCTTCAAATTCTGGTTCAGATTCACGTTTTTTGACACTTAGTGCATTCTCGTCTTTTTCTGACGAGGGAACTTCAGCTTCTATTGCCTAAAAGTGGGAAGAATGTGATGCTAAGATTAATTATGCATATATTACTTTCAAAATGATAAGGTAATCAAAGTAAAAGTAACTTTGTTTCAGTTGAAAGAGATATGGGGGAAACAACTTATACTGCTTTAAAGGAGATATGAAAATCTGTATTATATTTTAGTAGATCTCTGTCTTCAGAGCTTTATTCATATGGGTATCGCACCTCTCAAGAAAATACTTATACTGAGGGGACGGCAGGGGAGTGAAAGTGGCTGCTCTTTTTTTTTGTTATAAATTAACTACTAACAAAATTTTAAATTGAGGGTAAACCATTTGCATTCATCTTGGGTTCTCAGGGTATACACTGTTTATTCATGAAGAGATAAAAAATTAACCCTCTTTACCACAGAACACTCTTCACAATTCTTGACTTTAAATGGAATATGGAAGTTCAGGATGAAACAGGTCAAAAAGAGAGTTTGACTGAAAAATTTTAGCAGTCTGGAAAAGACCCCTACTTTTGGTGGTAGTTTTGCCAGTCTCTTTGACAGAATAAATAAAACTTTACCCACCCCTAAGGTTGTTATTAGTAACTGGAGTCAAAGTTGCCTTCAATTAGTGTTTATTTTTTTCCAGAAAGTTCTTATTTCTTCCTGCTTTTTGCACTACTAATAAAAATAACTTTTTTCTTGCTTTCCATTTTTTATTTTCTTTTTTTTGGTTTTAAATTTTCTTTCCATTTTATATTTCCTCATTTTTCCCATAATCACATTTGCTTGGATACAAAGTTACTTTTCATCTAAGGTAACCAAATGCATTCTTATATTTTATGAAGAAATATTTTAATTGGTCTAGTTTACTCTTTTCTATCTGACATATTGAGGAGGGAGTTTCAGTTTCTTTATTGGACATGGTGGTTATGCAGTAAAACAAAGTGAAGCTCTCCTATAACCTAATGGTCACGTGGGACATAGCGATGTAAATATCAAAGTATTTTGGTCTTTACTTAATATATTTCTGATATTTATTATAATTTCTAATCTCTTTTTTTCTGTCTACATAACTTCAAAACATATTTTCACACTTACAATAGCTGGATTATTTTTCTTTTTCTTCTATTCCTCCACATTTTTTTTCTTTAGAAAGAAATTCAATATGAAGGAATATAAACAAACAGCTTAAAATATGCCTGCTCTATTCCTTGAGTATCAGCTACTGTATTTTACCTTTTATCATAGGCTAAGAACAAGAAATGGAATAGCAAGCTCCTGTAGTCTGCTCTACATTATCTGCATAAAAGGAAAACATAAAATAATCTTTCAGGTTTAAATACATAGAGGATTAAAAATGTACTATCCTGGGTTTAAATAGGTATTGCATCAAGACTAGTGGTCTCTTCTCTCAAATTACTGTTCTCCTGCCAAAGCACTTTTTTTTTTCCTGCTAACAAATTCTGCAGAATTCCTCATACTTCTGATAGCATACAATGACTGTGGGTGAGGAAAACAAAAACCAAAACGAGGCAACAGCTAGCGAGAAAAGTACCTGCATGTTAACAAGTTTGTAGTAGATTCCCTTCCTCTCAAGCAGTTTAACATGATTTCCTTGCTCTGCGACAACTCCACCTTCAAACACAGCTATATGATCTGCATTTCGCACTGTTGACAGCCGATGAGCCACTACAACTGTAGTGCGTCCTTCCCTTGCCTAGAAATAGCAAAGTTTAATATGAGCGTTTCTAAGTAAATTCAAAAAGTGTTCCTCTGCATACTAGAGTTGAATAAGACCTAAAGGAAACACTAAAAGGGTTCACAGAAAATATAACTTGCCAGAAAAATTCAAAAGCATATTTCAATGAGTACCTTAAAGCAGAAATATAATCTTTACCCTGAAAATGAAGAAGAGACAATCTTTCACCATGGCACACATACATCCTACAATTTTGATCACAAATATCTAAACAAAATTCTCAATATTTAAAATTTCAGAATGTTACAAACCTTAAAATTTTAAAAATGCTAGAAGGTTTTATATTTAAGCCCATAGTTCTCAATTTAAACCTTAAAATTCATGGAAATAATTTATACACAGAAGCATTAGAGAATACTTCACACTCATATTTTAAAAAGTTCAGTGTTTTAAGCTCTAAGCCATTGTTAACTCAAGTAGCTACAGTGAAAAGAAAACCTCCTACTATTTCATGTAAAATTAGTTCAACTATCTACCTATCTTTGGATATTTATAAACATATTACACCTAATGTTTCAAATGTCAGAGCTTGCCATTTTAATTATGAGGCTGTATGAAAGTGATCAAGCAAATTTTAGCTTAACTAATCAAAGTAATGATCCCAAGCAGTGGAATTTTGTTGGAAAACAAATGGAGTTCATTCTCAGTGACACCTCTCAGAAGCCCCATACTGGCACCCATACTATTTAATATCTTCCTCATTGGCATAGATAAATGGGATTGAGTGCACACTCAGTAAATTTACAAATGACATCAAGCTGAGAGGTGCACCTTATTCATGTGAGGGAGGGGATAGCATTCAGGTCTCCAGCAAGCTTGAGGAGTGAAGCCATGTGAACCCCATGAAGTTCAACAAGGCCAGGTGAAAGGCCCTGCACCTGGGTCAAGGCAATCCTCAACATCAATATAGATGGATTGAGAGCAGCTCTGCAGAGAAAGGCTTTGGAATAGTAGTGGATGAAAAACTGGACACAAGCTGACAATGTGTGCTTGCAGTCCAGAAAGCCAACTGTAACTTGGGCTGCATCTAAAGAGGCGTGGCCAGCAGATTGAGGGAGGAGATTCTTCCTCTTTACTCTCCTCTGTTGAGATCCCACCTGGAGTACTGTGAGTTCTGAGGAAGACCACAAAAACTACCAGAGAGCTAACAGACCTCTCCTATACAGACAGGCTAAGAGAGCTGGGGTTCAGCCTGGAGAAAAGAGGGCTCCCGGGAGACCTAATTGAAGCCTTTCAGTACCTGAAGGGTGACCACCATTATGACCACCAGGTGAGAGATTTTTACCAGGGCCTGTAGTAACAGGACAAAGGACAATGGTTTTAAACTGAAAGAGGGTAGATTTAGATCAGATATAAGGAAAAAAATTTTTACGATGAGGGTGGTGAGACACTGGAACAGGTTGCCCAGCATCGTGGATGCCCCACCGCTGGAAGTGTTCAAGACCAGCCTGGATGGGGCTCTGAGCAACCTGATCTAGTGGACTGTGTCCTTGTTCCATGTGGAGACTAGATAATCTTTAAAGATGCTTTCCAACCCAAACCACTCTATGATTCTATGAGTCCCTAGGTCTTCTGCAAAGGTTCACAAGGATACAAATTTGTAAGGTAAATATAGAGACTCCTGAGTTGCACAATGAATGAACTGTCCATTACCAAGACGGTTCTACACTAAGAACAAAAGAAGCACCTAGAAGAATTCATGTTAACTGAAGCAAGTGTTTCCTTGGAGTATTTCATGCCAAGTCACTGCTACAAACAATTATGACATGCTGGTAATGCTTATTTTGTCTGTTAGGCTTTATAAGTTAACTAAACAGGTGACTGACAACAATATGCATGTCAGTAAGACAGATAATAACACAGGATGGTATTTACACCAAGAAAATGTTGATTTAAGCTTAATAATGCAGAAAATATGACTCCATCTTCTCACTTGAAATAAGATTCCTCTCTGGAATACTTGCGGGATCTCAAAAATTCTCCTTACAAAGAACATTTGCCAAATTTACCTTTCTTGTTTTATGCGTCTTTATTTTCAACAAAAGTCAGGGAAAAAAGTAAATATTAGGCTCCTGCTTACCTGCTTCATTTTAAAACACTACTGACCTTGTCCAGTGCTGCCTGCACAACTGATTCACTTTCAGTATCCAAAGCTGATGTTGCCTCATCAAGCAGAAGAATTTTAGGATTGCGAACCAGAGCTCGGGCAATTGCTATTCTTTGTTTCTGGCCTCCACTCAGCTGTGCCCCTCTTTCTCCAACCACGGTTTCAAACTTCTACAAGACAACCACATGCATTCAAAACACTCAGTGGCACATTACTCCCAGCAAAGACAGGCAGTGTGAAGAAAAGAATCACCAGTGTCAGTAACCCCAGTAGCGTCTCCTCCTTCCTTTACAGGAATAAACACGTACTTGGATAATCCCACCTAATCATTTGTGTTCCTGGAATTCTAATAGTTCTTCAAATACCTGCCAAATCATGACCTGAAGATATAAAATTAACATCTTTCTCAAAAGTTACGAGAACCTCTGCATAGCTTTGCATATTCACAGCTCCAAGGATAGCTTCCTCTCTTAACAAGCGTTCCTCCTACGGAACTATTTGGCACAAGAGGGTTTAGAAGAAATTGGTTCAGCAGGAGAACTGGTCTGCTTACCTTGGGCAGCTTCATGATGAAGTCATAAGCATTGGCTTCCTTGGTAGCTTTTTCAATCTCTTCCATGGTGACGTCCTCACGGCCATAACGAATATTTTCTGCAATAGTGGTAGCAAAGAGCACGGGCTCCTGATTCACCACACCGATAATCTCCCGCAGATATCTTACATTCAAGGTCTTAATATCCTGCCCATCAATGGTAACCTAATCATAAGGAAGCAGACAAAAACTGAGTGTTTTGACCAAGGAACCTCTCTTTCCATGCTGGCACATGCCTTTTTAGGCAAGACTTCACCATATCATTGGAACAAGGTGAATGAGGCCAGAACTAGGATTTCAACAAGTGTGACATATAGAGCAGTCAGCTCACTTGAGGTATCTTACCGTGCCTTCCTTGGGATCATAAAATCTCTGGATGAGCTGAACAGTTGTACTTTTCCCACAGCCACTGCTGCCAACCAGGGCCACTGTCTGGCCAGAACTAATCTTGAGATTCAAGCCCTTCAGTATCTGTGCATATAGGAAAGGGAATCAAAAACATAACAGTATGTAGAAATATCAGTGTAAATTTGATGAAAATATAAAGACTACAGTAAAATATCCTTTGTATTTGTAACAGAATCTGGTACAAAATAAAATTTTTAAACGTGGGTTTAAATTTTGGATAATATGATTTCAGCTTAATTTCTTACATTTACATCACAACTGGTCCAATATCAATGTGCTATACAACACACTTCACAATTACCTCTCTCATGAACCAGTTCATATGACAAAATAATAATAACATTACTACCAAAACTAAAATATAGTATAGAAATGCAATATGATGCGATATTCCTGTATTATGTTGCCTCACTTTTTTTTTAATGCACCATGCAAACTACAGGGAAGCTATGGAAAAGTCATCGTTAAAAGCTCTGTGTCTTTTCTTCCTACCTATCAAAAGTAAGAAAGATCGTTTCATCATGGCCAGTGATTTTCCTTCAAGGTAAGGAAGGAAATAATTACATAGTGCAAAGACACTGCCCATGAAAACATTTTCAGAAATCATTCAAATGTCTTCCATCTCCACTGAATCAAGACTATGGATTTATGACAGTGCTTCAAAAAGCAAACTTATTCTCTGCCTAGACAGACAAATACAGATTCTGATCTCTATTCCGTGTATAGCAAGTCCTTGCTGGATCTGCTTTCTCACACACAGTCATCAGAGAGCTGCACTGCAAGTACTCTGAAACCCATGATCTCATTATTATTACAATACACAAGCAGTTGGGTTAGGGCGTAAGTTTAGGTTCTGATAGAAATACATATTTATGTTTTTTTGCATAGCCACACTTACTATAGCTTTAGACAGAAAGTTGCTCAGAAAATTTAACATATTTGGCTAAGGTGTAAATATGTCTAGCTAAAATCACTGTGATGGAAAGGTAGTTTTATATACATTAGAGAATCAACTTGGAATTGTTATATTTTCAACAAAATTTCGTTTATGTCACTTCTTAATGATTTTTTTTTCCCAACAAATCATCTATATGTTTAATATACATGAAGTGTCATTTACATACCTCAACGTCTGGTCTGGATGGATAATTGAAGTAAACATTCTCGAATTCCAAGTTTCCTTTAATGTAGTCCGGTTTGTAACCCGCCTCTGAGTAACTGTCAATTTGAGGTTCCTGTGCAAAATAAGATACAACACCCCCCCATTTTTTTTCATTAAGAAGTTCTGGAGTGCACCATTACTCTTCAGAGACATTAAATGTGGGTTTTAAGTAATTTAGTTGAGATTTCTGAAAGAAAAAAATTGCATGATGTTTTGCTCCCTCGTTGCTGCATCGATGATAGGCTTATGCAAGAATACTGTTATAATTTTTCCATTAAACTTTTGTGTGAATTTAGCAAATGTCCTTAAGACTGTACCCACAGCTAGCCATAATCTGAGATTCATTTCACTGCCTGATGATTAACCTGAGTACATCATCTCTAATGAGCTGTTCATACACTGTTCATTTATAGCTTTGGCCTTTCTGCTGAAACAATTTGTCTGAGAAACAACTAATCTGCTGATCATTACTCAGAAGCAGATTTCTTAATTATCGGTGGGTTTGTTTCCATCCAGGGTGGGTCTAGAACTTGAAGTATACCAAAACAATAATCCAAAACATGCAATTGCATTTCATAGAGCTTCATTAGCTAGCAAAATCACAGCTTCCCTGATTTTTCAATCTCTTGGCAGTTGAGGTACATATCCAGTTTACCCAATTGTGTTGTATTGATTTGCTGGCACTCACACTACCATTGGTGTCACTGATACCATGAAAACTATGCTCATATACCTACATTGTCTATAATCATGTGATTACAGCACCACAGACGTGTCCTTCATGATAAAAACATTAGAGGATACCCTTCGAAACCAAGTGATTCAGAGATCCAGTACTTTTACCTTTGAAGCAAGGACTGGTAATTCTAAAAGACAAAGAGGAACTGACTAATAATTACACATCCTATCTGGTTTTATCTTTATATTTCTGCTTATTTTACACAGTTATTTAATCTGATTAATTTCATTTCCATAAATAGTGCCTGTCTTTAAAAAGAAAGGTCTCTTCCCTTCAAAAGAAGTTTTGAAATGATAACAAGGGCAAGGATACTCACATTGTCTATTATATTAAAGACCACATAGGCAGCTCCTCTTGCACTAGCAAATGCCTCTATGCTTGGAGCAGTCTGTCCAATACTGAAAGCTCCAATCAATACAGAGAAAAAGACCTGAAAGAAATATTTACAGTGACATATATTCATTCTTATTAACCAGAGGATTACATTTATTTATTTACTTTAAATATCTTTGCGTCAGGAGGCTCCATGCCTGTTAACAGAAGTTTAAGGAATCTAGAATTACAGAAAAACTGAAAACAGAGAATCACGTTAAGAAAAGGGCTTTTTAAGAGTCAGCTGAGAACTGAGCTCATGCACGATGTTAATGCTGCAAATATATTGAGAAGAAGTGAAAAGGTGATTGAGACTTGTAAAATCTATGCCAAAAAAATGTAGACTGTCACTTGATGTCTTGGAATTTTATTGTATTAATTCATTCTTAGGCCAAAGACATTCCAAAGACTGGAAAGTATATTACATATCTTCCAGGGAAACAAAGACAGATATGCAAAGCACTATCACTCTGCTTTCAAAGTTACAGTGAAATAGAGGGATACAAATCCAGCTTCTCCATCACAAAGTAATAAAGGATCCCCTCTGCTTCAATGAGAGTGAGTGCAAGCAAACAAGAAAGAGAAAAAGAACAAATAAACTGTTTTCTCAGAGTAGCATAGTTTATTGCTTTCAGCTAGTATAAAAAAAAAAAAAAAGAAGGCAATTAAATGATGCTGCTCAGAGCTTGTAACAGCCACAGTAAGTCAGAGCAAAGCCCATGACACCCATTTTCTTGAATAGGGGCTGTTCACAAATTTAACACATGATAAGGCCACACCCTCCCATCCCTGTTATAAAACCACCATTCAATGAACTACAACATAGACAACTGAAATTGCAAATACTTTGAACAGAATAAATTACACACAAGGTCATGAACCTCATTGAGTGTTCTGTATGGCAACCTGCATAAAAGGTTCCAAAAAGCCAAAAACACGTATCAGAGACATTTTTCATGAACTTCAGTGATTCATAAACAAAACAAACCAGATAGTTTTAAAAAAAAAATAAATATATGCATATGTTCACCTGTCTGGGCTTTTATTATGGTTAACAAAATTATTCTTCTTATCGTATTAATTTGATATCTCATACAAAATTAGAACGGTTGCCACATCAAGAGAAGAATTTAAGTTACCACTTATGAGTAATGGGTTTTTTACATATTTCCTAGTCACAAGTATATTTTAATCCCCCTCAATTTCTAAAAGCGCTCAGAAGTGATTCCAAGCTCTCATAAAACATAAAAAAAAGCGCAAAACATAAAAAAAAATTATCTATTTAGACAACACAACAGTTAAAAAAAAGTATTTGTTTCTGCATGCTGAAAATATATTCAGACCCATAAATCTGAAAGCAAATAGCAACTAGGAAGGGTATTGTACTTCAGCTTTGGATTGAATTGTTTCTGTATCAGTCTGATCTTATGAAAGTCAGAAAATATATAAGAACAGTGGAAAATAATATATGTTTTATTTTAGGTTCATATAGATTTTGAGATGCTGTGGAAACATGTAGACTTCTGTGGTGAGAATCTTTTTGTTCAGAAGGGATTCTACTTTGCCAGTTTTGGCCCATAACTCTCATTAAAATCAAATAAGTTCCCATTACATAATTTAACGTTCTTTTCTCACTATTATTGAGAATTTACTCCTTAATACTTACCGTCAGAACTTGGCCAATAGTGTAATCATCAGTCAAGATCAAAGTAGTTCCATACCAAAAGGCCAGTGCATATGATGCATATACCAGTAAGTAAGCAACACCCATAGAAACATTAGCTATAATAGCCTTTCTTATTCCAATCCTTTTAGCATCTTCTAAATTTTTATGGTATCTGGAAGAAAGAAAGAAGTTCAAAATAGACTTACACTTGTACCACGGCACACGGCACCAAAACCTGTGCGGATGAGTTAGGACAAGCATGCTCACAAAGTACATCAGGATATATAAAATATCTAACCCAAAGACTGTACAAAGGTAATCTTTGGAACAGGGTAACCTAAGATAACTCCTAAAAAGGCCAACATCAGTCAACCTGGTATGCAGAAATAAAAGGCCATTGCAGGTCAGGGATTGGCATTCAAGTTCCTTAAATAAATCGAAGGTCAGTGAATTTTGATAGTGAACCACTTAAGATAAAAGGTTAAAATATATCACAAGAATTATGTTTTACAGTAGTGGAAATAGAGATATTGTTTGTTAGCACATTCACAGCTACTGAGTAATCAGAGTACCAAGGATATCGTTATCTCTTCTTGTGAGAGGGATCCTTTTTTTGTCTAAAGCTCTCACTGTGTGATGTGTGAAGTAGTCTGTATACCCTCTAAAGCAGAGACAACAAATCAACTTATTTTGACTTTTCTAAAAAAATAACTAATTATCTTTCAACGTAGTGAACCTTGTAATAGTCTCTAACAGACAATCTTCCATCACCTAAAAATGCAGAAAACAAGACTTTCAACAACAAAGATACTAGAAAACTTCAATTTATCTGAAACAAGGACTTTAAAATCCACTGATGAAAGCAAATATTGCTCTTACCTTTTAATTTCTTTTTCCTGTCCTCCAAAAGCTATTACAGTACGGATTGCTGCCAGAACTTCCTCTGCAACAGCACCTGCTTTTGCATATGCTGCTTGTTCTTTGTCAGTGAAAGTAGAGAGAACCTAATACAAGATCAAATATTTTGACATAGGAAAAATAGAATGAGTTTGAGCACTTCATAATGACTTTTATCATAGTTACTTTCTTCTAATAGGAAGCCTTTTGATTATATTTTCTATGAGTGCAGAATGTCCAATATCCAAATTTTAAGTATATTGTGAATTCAATCAAATAATTAAATGTTACCCTTTGTAAACAGCTAAGGGCTGGATTTTCCACTCTGCTTTCACCCTTTGCAGGAGATTAGATGACTACTCATAGTGAGCTGGTGTGGTTTTCCCCAGGCAGATCTTCTCAGCTCATTCTCATCTCTGGCTACATTAGCCAGAGGGTCCTTTAACTTACATTAGTTGGCCACAGTCTGTGAAGACTCAGCCAGTAGACATGCATGGCACATGCTTCTCTAACCTTTTCTGCAATATACTCACTCAAGACAGAGAAAGCTTTCATGACCTTTAAAATGTAGGGAAAATAAAATACTATGAAAATGTGAAGACTTTCAAACTACAAATGTAAGTCATTCTAATCCCATAGTAATTTGGTCCTTCTCTCATGTAAGTCTATCTAAAATTTCTTGCCAAAGCTGTTAACAGCTCTGAAAGAAACTCTGTGTCTGAGACCAAGTTTTTTTCTAATTTATTCCCTTATTTTTCAGGAGGTGCAATTATTCCTTTCAACAGAAGAAGTACTTATGTGGATGTGGTTAAACAGTTACAAATGCGGATTCTACTTCTCTGTATGGGAATGTGCTATAAAGGCAGAAGCAGCTTCAAATCAAATAAGGCTACCCAATCTATAATAATGATATTATTGAAACTACATAGAATCATCCAATCATATAATGATTTGGTTTGGAAGGGACCTTAAAGATCATCCAATTCCAACTGCTCTGCCATGGTCAGGGACACCTTCCACTAGATCAGTTTGCTCAAAGCCCTATCCAACCCAGCCTTGAACAAGAGGGTACTGATACACAGTTCTTCTAAGAGTTGATGTACTTAAGTGTTATCTAAAGCTATAATTGGACTAAACAACAAGTTCTAACACTAAGAATTTCAGATATGTAGATTTATTTCATTATCTCTCATTAATATAAAACCTGACAGTGAATGTATGTTAACCTACCTTTGCCCAGATGGCTGCTGAAAGTCCCAGGACAGGACTAACTGCTAGTATTACAAGGGTTAATTTCCATCCTCTTACAAGACCAACAATAAATCCTGCTACAAATGCCGTTAGTTGTTGAACAAGAAGTCCAACCTTGTGACCTATTCCTTCATTAATCTTGGAGACATCACTGAAAAACAAATTAGATCCAGAAAGGAAGAAAAATGTAGAAAGAAATACAAACGTTTTCGGTTTTGTTACATGGTCATCTGTGTGGAGGGCAATCTTTACTATTTAATTGTTTCCAAATAATAGTTTTCTTCAAGGTAAAGCACTATATAGTGTGGTCAAGGAAAATTTCCTATTTCTTGTGAAACTGTAATGCTATAAACCTGGTTTTCTCTGAAAAGGTTGAAATCCTCTACAGTGTAAAACTACTCTCACTCTCTTAATTTCAGATTTTTGATCAGTTTGGCACTTGTGGTCTATTTGGGAATAAAAGATAGGGAAGGAGAAAGGAAAATCTTGTTATACAGTTAAAGCTGTTCACACTGCTGGGGTCAGCTGGCACCTTATTCAGTCCTCAGTGTGCACAGAAACAAACTATATTTTCTCTCCCAAGGGATAATCGCATAGGCTGGGCCTTAGTCATCCTCACAGTTCAAGGAAACTCAACAAAAAGCTTTTCTGACATCTTTGTGACAGTCCAGCATCAGAAGTATTAGAAATTCAGTCTCTGAGACCCTCCATGAGAAAACTTGAAAACTTAATTTAACAATGAAAATAAAAAAAAATGTAACTCCGACATGCTTAATAAGGTTAAACAACATTGGGAATGGTATAGTGTACTTACTCTAGAAGACGAGTGTTAAGTTCTCCCACATCATTTACATCAAACCATCCAATTTCCTGTCTCATAATTGCATGAAAAAATTCTTCTCTAATTTTTTTTATTTGTCGACCTGCTGTTAGTGTCCAGAGTGAAGTTTGTAAATAAGCAGCAAGAAGAACACCAGCTGCTATTCCACAATAGTAGTATGCATATCTGAAAGAAAAAAAAATGGCAAAAAACGCAAGACTCTCTTAAATTGATTTTAATTACCTCACCATTCTGAATTTGGTGTGATGCTTACTTCTTCTGTTTCAGACCTCTGTAAAACTTGATAAGTTTTCTATGAATAGTATTTAATGTCGGGGGGGTTTTTGCAATAACCAAAAAAAAGATATAATTAGACAGTAACTAACTTTCTTTTTTTTTTTTGTCAATTTAACATGCATTTTCTCATAAGATTATTTTAGAACTGTATTTCAGATACAATATCATTTTCACATACGTGTGTCACTTCCAAAAACTCCCTAGCATTTTTAACACACATGGACAGACCTAATCATATACACCTATATTATATGCATATTTACACCATACAATGTACCTGTCTATATAAATAAAAATATGCATGGATGCTGGAAATGTTTCCTGATTGGAGAATACAGCATTACTACATGTACATCTATTGCAAGCAAATGCCATTGGATTGAAAATTCTTTTGCTCTCTATTTTGTGCATAGTTGATATTTTAATTTTAAATTAATTCAGCCCTGTGCAAGGTGTCAAATCCAAACCAGGAGTGTGTGAACCACTATATTTCTCAAACTGGAACACAACTTGAGTCACAACTTTAAACCATTCAAAAAGAATTAAATCAATTTTGATTTGATACACAATTGACATCAGAATCAGTTATAGGTGAACTTAAACCAGAATTAAACCAGAAAAATATATCTGAACTGGTTCCATTTGTAAAGCATGACCAAAATCAAGGATTAAATATTCAGGGTGTATATATCTGTAATTATAAGAATACTGCATCTAATACAGCAAATAATGAGCAAAAAGCTATAAAACTCTTATGACTTTCACTCATGTGTACTAAGTTATGCATACTGATTCTGTAGAACTGTAACATGCTCCTTGGCGGGAGCAAATTGCAGGAATCTGTGTGCAAATGCTCTGCTCAAAAAAGGAGAGAATGGCTTTACAGATTAAAATTTTCAAATTTTAATCCAGTCTTTCTTGCAGCTATGATACCTTACAGTTTAGTTAGGGACTTTGGAACCATACTCATTATGAAATGCATTTAATCGAAACAGTTTAATAAAAGCAGGTTAATGCTTAACGGAATGCTGGTTAGTTGAATGTTGACTTCGATCACATTCAGCTTCATTAAAACTCTACAAACTTAAAAAAACCTTCCCAAACTAACCCCAAGAGCACTGCATCTAAATTCAGCAGTAATTACTTCAGACAATTACTTTATGATGTTATATGACTTCAAAGAATTGATTTATGCTTGGACTTTGTTTCATGACAAATTGTCTCAAAAGGGATTCATATCTTTGCCAGATTCCATGCTGATGAAACATATTCTGTAAATTCAATGCTGAAACTAATCAGAGAGTAAATGCTTATTGCATTGTAAAGTAATAGTTATTTTTCTTTAGAGAGATAGTAGGGGTTTGGGCAAGCCGTTGTTTGAGTAACAAACACAACCAAGTCCACGTGTATATTTCAGTATTTGAACACACCTCTTTGAGAACTTTGTCCTTGTAAATGGGTTTTATTATTATTTGACCTGCTGGCAGGCATTCTTAGAGAAACAAGGAGTGAGTACAACCAGCTGCTTCTTCAAACCAGTGAAATCACTAACTCAAGGCTCTATCTAGAAACTTTGGAAAAGAAATCCTGTTCCTGTGCTGCTAAGAAGTAATAAGTTCCTCATGAAACAATTTGTTTTTAAAGAGAAACTTGTGCTGCTTTTTATTCATACTTGTACTTTCAGAGTTAATGACTAAAAGATACGGTGGCATGCCTGATGTTTGTGGTTGTTTGACCCTGGCTGGAAGACAGGTGCCCAACCCAACATGCTCCATCCCCTTCCTCAGCTGGACAGGGAAGAGAATAATACAATTAAAAGCTCATGGGTGGTAATAAGGACAGGGAGAGATCACTCAGCAAATAAATAGTGGGTAAAACAAGTTGTTCTAACAAGAACAACTATTTTTCAAGTTCTTTTAGAGTAAACATAAGACAGACTTTAAAAACATTGTGCAAGTAGGCATCAGGTATTTACTAAACACAGAACAGTTAGTGTAACTTCAACCATGCATAAATTATTTAGTTCTGCAATTCTGCCTTCAAATTTGCTTTCAAATCACTGGGCAAAAGGATATCCCACTGAAGGTGTGTATGCATTGGTTGCATTTGTGTCAGAGACTGTCAGAAATGTTGAGGGAGCAAGAAACTGTGTGGCCACACTCTCCTATAAAGCATAAAAGTCAGTTCCCTGTCTGTTCATTCTCATTACATACAAGTTCTTCATTTCTAAGTAACGGCCTTTTCCTAATTTGCTCATTTATTTTAGGGTAAAGAACTTTTTTTTTTCTGGTGTAAATTGATTTTCTTTTTTCATTGCAAAATTAACTACTGAATCTAAATGATGTTACTTTACAGTCCACTGCTACCAGAAATGATAATGTACTTCGGCATAAAACAGCAAGAGTTACTATAGCAAATGTCTTATCTCTTCCTTCTCTTCAGAAAAGACAATTGCCTTGAAGACCACATCAGGTATTTTTCAATACCTAATGAGGAACAGAGTTCAACCTGAGAAAAAAACCTGAAGTGGTACAAGAAAGTGCACATCAACTGTAGACATCCTGCATAAACCAAGTGTGTGGACAGTGGTTAATAAAGCCCCTTAACAAAGCACATCTATTAGCAGCTTTTGTTTCTGCTTATTTGATCTTTTCTTTATGGAGCTCTGTTAGCAGAAACATCTGCTGAATATTGTCTTCTGCTATTGCCTGCTCTAGAATGCTAGATTTAAGGCTGCATATAATCTAAATCTGTATTTTCTGTAGACAATTTCACAGAATCATAGAATTGTTTAGGTTGGAAGAGACCTTTAAGATTCTTGAATCCAACTGTTAACCCAGCACAATGTCCCTCAGTGCCACATCCACAAATCCTCTAATACCTCCAGGGACGGTGACTCAACCACTTCCCTAGGTAGCCTCTTCCAATGCTTGACAAACCTTCCCACGAAGACATCCAACCTCCCCTGTCACAACTTAAGGCCATTTCCTTTTGTCCTATTGCTTGTTGTTTGGGAGAAGAGACAGATCTTTACCTTGCTACAACCTCCTTTCAGATATTTGCAGAGAGCCATTTAGTTGCACTTGATGCTTTGGCAGCAAAGCAGATCCTATCTGACAATTTAAATTCTGTTTTTTGCAAGTGAATCACCACAGCTCAAGGAATTGATGGACGATAATCAACATAATTTTTTATCATAATCTTTATCATAATCTTTATGAACTCAGAGGAAGAGAAGTAAAAAAGAAGGCAATGCAGATGTCATTGGAACACGGAGCACCCCTGAAATGGGGGCAGAATGGCTGAGAGCAAGAGACGACAGGGAAATTTTGGGGAATGGCTGGGGATGTTCAAGAATCTTCCCAGTGCCTCAAATAATCTCATGTGCCAATCTTTAGGTACATATATTATTCAATCAATCATTGTTTTTGTGTTGCTTAAAGTGAGCAAAATATTCTTGGGAGAAGAATGGCTTAAATAGAAATGTGTGCCTACACTAAAAAAAGAGGAAATACCAATTTCTAATTACCTTGTCATATCTTCTTCCAGCTTCTCGAGCATGTCTGCAGTGAAATTCATTTGAGAAGAATTCAGTCCTTAGAAAGAAGAGTAAATACTTTTAATAGAGCAAGCTTTAACAAATTACTTTTCCTGCATGCTGTTCAGCATATTCAGAGTTGTTACATCTTGTTTTGAATCGAGTGGATTTGAATGAAAGGAGAAAATTTTAACAAAAATTAATGAACTTTACTAATACAGGATTAGTCATAACTCCACTGACTAGAAAACCATATCAGCGTAATTTGAGATTAAAAAGTCTTCCTGAGCATACACAGAATCATAGATTGGGATGGGTTAGAAGGAATCCAACCCCAGGCAGAGCTCCATGCACTCCAGCTGGTCATTGACATAGAGGGTGACGCCCCCTTCTCATCTTCCCAAATGTTCTTCCAGAAGAGCCTGTATCCTCTCATTCCAACATTCAAGTCATAGGTAGGTCCCCTCTCCAGGCTCCAGGCATCTCTTGCAGGCACTGGCATCACACTGGTAGGAGTGGGATGGACTGAGGTTCCTCTCCCTTGGCAGCTTAAGTTTAAAGACTGGGCACGCCTATGGCCAAAGATTCTCTTCTCCTTCTCTGACAGATGGACCCCCCCAGCCCCCAGGAGATGGGATTTCTCAATGCGAGTCCCATGGTCAGAAGTAGCTGAACCCTTGGACTGTGCCACCAGTCCAGTAATCATTTTTTCATTGACTAGATTTGATTAGCCCTTTCAAACCCTTTCCCTTTGACTGGGAGGACTGATGAAAAAAACTACCCACACACCAGCATCCCTTACTGATGCTCTGAGTTCAGAGGATGACATAATCTGATCTATGTGTTGACACCAAAGTGACAGTATCACTCCTTCCTCTTGTATCTAGCAGTGCATGCCTACCCTCCTTCCTTTGTGTTTGATTTCACAGTTCTGATTCAGCAAATGAGGCTAGTCAACAGATGGATCCCAGGGAAAATTAGTACTTTTATTTTTGATAGTGAATCTCCGATTAATCTACCTGCTAATCTGATTCACCTCATAAACTATAACTGTCAGATTTGATGCAAGGGAATCAACAAGAGCCCATGCTGAAGAGATGGAAACCCAGCCACTTTCTGTTTATTACAAGCACAGTTAAACATGATTTATTGAATGTGCACTGTAGCAGGTAATTTGAAAAAAAGTCAAAAATAAAATCTACTAACGCAGAAACTAAAAAATACAATAAAAATCCCCCAAAATATAGTGTATGTCTATTACAATGAACATGACTTACTAATTCATGTGATAGTATAGCACAGGGGTTTCTGACATCAATATGTCCTGTCAGGATGCCTGAATCTCCCCATCTCTTTTTAAATACAAGCCATTGTTCTCAGCACAGCAGATATATTCTTACCTGTAAAATTTAAGTCTCCAGAAGCAACAAAGCTGTCCGTCATTTCACCAAAAATTATCATCGAAATAGGGAGAGAGCTTCCATGGGCTACTGCCAGAATAGTGCCCAGTGTCATTAACATTTTATCTGACCAAGTGGAGTATCGAAACTGTGAGTGAGAAATGAATTCTAACTATTGTATTAGAATGCTAACACAATGCTATGTCTACACAGTCAGGAATGTAAAGACAAAATTATCAATTGTACACCTGCTGTCACAAAACTACAACTTTATCTGATTAGAAATTCAGTTTACAAAACAATTTAAATGTACAGGAATAAATCCCTTCACTATAAGCACTTTTATGCTATAAACTCTCAAAACTAGAGAGGTGTACTATTTTAATGTATTGATATATGCACCTGGGTAAGAAAGGCCATAGGTAAACAAAGCACAAGAAATTTGCCCTTTTTAAGTTCACCATATAAAGTTCAAATTATAAGAAATGTTAATGGCATTGTGATAATTAAGGCAATAATCTCTTTTACTTCAAATTCATTATTATGCAGTCAGAAAAACTGTTCCTAATGTACTACAGACATTATAAAAATGTACTGAAATCCTAAATCCTCCTGCCATTGAACTTAATAAAGTTTGAGTTCATCTGTTACAAAACCATTGGCTTTATTCTGTACTGTAAAATGCTAAGATTACTGACTTAAATTATTGTCCTATGATGTAATTGTACAAGTGCAAGCTGATATAGCAAAGTAAAGAAATTGGGCATTGTCCAGCATCATGGACTATAGTTTTATGTCTGTTATTTGCAATATCACTGCTGTGTATTATACATACAAAACCTACAAAAAAAGAAAATATTTCAGCATTACTAAAAGAGGACCTATGACTGATTTTGATTAAATATTGAAATATTTTTTTGAAACATACAGAAAAAATCGGGAATTTTAAGTATTTTTTAGTACTCAATTCTTAATTTTAAGTTTCGTCAATGCCACAGAGTTACTCTTTACTGCTGATTCAGATGACTGATTAATGATTAATGGGCCTAATCAGTATGATTAGTACCTGACTCTGGTAATTTAGAGGACAAGACCATACATAATTGTAGACACGTGGATGCCCTTTTTATTGTTTCAGAAGAAATGACTGAACATGGAAATCCCTGTCTTTCACAAACAAAAATCTAGTATGAGTGTGTTTAGCATGATCACTTATAAGGGAAGACTCCTAAGAATCCTTAACAGTAATAAGACAGCTTCTTTAATATAACTGCATCCACAAAGAGAACTGCTTGATTTCTATGCTATAGCCAGTATTCTGCAGTCTCACAGTATTTGGTACAGACAGTATCATAGATGCAGTGCACTAACATAATTGCAATCATTTTTGTTTAGCCTTTTGAAATGTGCCTGCATGAATATATAGGTACACATATACAGAGAGAATAAATCTTACCAGAGCAAAAGGGCTGACCACCTTAGGTTTTTCCCCTTTCTTCTGCTTCTTCTTTTTCTTTCTAAGAAAAGGTATGATGATTTTAATGAGTTTAAAAATAGATGACATTTTACAGAAATACTAATGCAACATATTAAAGCAGTTCAATTAAAATACAATTATGAAAAAAATTTACAGTAAAAAAATTGTGTGTAAAATGATTACGATTTATTGAGCATTCCTGAGAATACCCTAAATCTCCAGGTATCAGCTCCTGACTGCTGTAAATTTAAGTCAAGTTCTCCCCAGTTCACCTGTTTCAATGGTTCCACTACCTGGTTAGGGAAGTTGTGAACTGAAGCACTATAAAATTTCAAAATAGGAAAGGGGAAGATAACTTACAAAATCAAGTTTTTCCACATGGTGGGTGGGGAATACATAAAATGTTCAAGGTATGTAAAATATTGATTCCCTGCCATATGAAAGATATTAAGATAATCTCTAACAAATAGCATAAATGTATCCAAGATGTCCACTCCAAACAGAATTTCTGTCGTATTTCAGATTTATTTTTTCAATAAACTCCATTCAAAACTGTGGACAATTAGTCCTTACGAGAAAAAGACAAAGGTCCTTCTGCACCAAATGAACATGTCAATTAATGCTACTCTCAATTTGATACCAAGCTTTCTGTTATTAGGCTTTTCTGAAAAATAAAGTAAAATAAAATAAATAAATGAAATATAATATAAAATAATGTAATGTAATCTTACAAGCTTCAATACAGAATGTTCACAATGTTTAAGAATACTTACTGTTTGTCTTCAGATTCATGACCCTGGCTGGCAACATCATGAATATTTCCATCTGCAGTATAGTTCTTCTTTTCATCTTCAGAATGCATTTTAAATTTATTGAAAATAGCTCCCTGTAAAATAATATTTGACTGAGAAATATACAACTTTGAGCAAATGTTTTAAATATTTTAGTAATCTTAAAAACATAAATGTTTTTTGAATTACCTCAACAATGATTTGTTTGAAAGAAAAATATAGGTACTTATTGAAATCAGTAAAGTTATTAATATCATACACTGCAAGTGAATCCTCATAATGAACAAGTATAAGCCTGTTGAGAACAGCCCAGAAGTTTGGTGTTTCCTTACAAACATTTTGGATTTGTATTCATTTCATAACTGTAGGTCGTTCATTTAATTTCATTTAAATGATACAAGCATAATATTTTCTGCAATTCAGCAAAGATATACAAAATAAAGGAGAAAGTAAATGTTTATTTAAAAGAATTAATTTTTATCCAGTTAACTGGATTTTTCCCAATTTTAGACATAAGCGAATTTATAAAATATCTCTGATTTAAAAAAAGTCCCAAACTACTGACATACCGAGAAGGTTGTTCTGAGTTTGTGTCCAGTCCTCTGAAAAATTACTCAAGCATGAGCAGAATTAAGATGGTTCAGGACATACAGCACGATTGGACTTTGTTCTTGTTACGTAAGACAGAGATAACAAATAGATTTCTCTCATTTTTTTTTCCCACTCCAATTGCCTTCCCTATATTGGTGAGTAAAATGTATGCACTTTGGACTGTACCTCCCTTTTCCTAAAGGGAATAATACTACTCCTTAAACACACACTTATTTCACTGTCACCTGGGAAAACAACCCTGAATACTCTATTCTTCCATCAAAAAAAGTTCCCCGGATCTACTGTTGGCTTAACTATGCCCCTTAAATTCAGAGGAATTCCTCTTTACCTTATCAGAGGTGTTGCTGAATGCTCCAAGTAACTGTTACACTTAAGGATGAGCCCATTCTTGAATACACAGTGAGAAAGAAACCAAATAACACCAAAGGATTCTTTTACTCTTTTGCTTCTTTTCCAATCTTCTAAGTCTAATCCAGGAAAACACGACCCATCTAGCATGAAAGAAAAGGGGATTTTACTGTAGTGCATATAATTTCTCATTTGAGTAACTGCAGAACAGCAAGATGAGTGTCAGACTCAGTTTAAAAATGGTTGGGAAACAGCTCTGGTCAGCAGAAATCTTCTCAATTAGCATCTTTTTGATTTTTGAAAGTATGTTCAGATTCTAGACTGTTTGAAATGGACCACTTAATAGTAGTCCACTTGGACCTTTATTAATGGACATTGTGGAATGTATTGGCTTTATCAGTATCTGTAGGCATTACTTTGATGAAAATAATAAATATTTAAAACATTTAAATTAAATGAATTTCACTTCTTAACCTTATTTCAGTATATGTATTGAACTAGACATTTTTCAACACTTTTACAGAAGTAAAATTTGTGAAAAGTTAAATAAAAATACATGTCCTAGAAGACAAGTAGATTTATATTAATTTCTCTGTAGGTGTCCTATCACTTTACTTACACAAAACTTACTTAATCTGATCATTACACAGAAGAAATGATTTTTGTTCCTTTTTTTCATGTATGCCTGTAATCTCAAAATTTTGGTAAATAGTATTTTTATAATGTTTTGGAATACAAACAGTCTTATCAGATTGAGGAATGGTTTAGAAAGGGTAGTTTAGCTTTATCAGTCAAGCAAAATATAAAGGATTAGTAAGTATAAGTATTATCTGTTTATGAAAAGTCATTCTGAAATATTTGTATGGAGGTCTATCCCCAGCAGTTAATAGGTTTTAACCTGGGTGCCTAAATACTTTCCTACACTTAATCCTAACAAACTGGTCCAATTATTTCAGGGGAAACTGAATAAAGTCAAATGGGAAATTTTAAAGAAAATTAATTGATTAAAAAATGAAATATTATATGCAGGACTTTCACAACTATTTCACATTAAAGGGAGAATGGTCAAAACTAAAAGATCTTTCACAACATTTTGTTATCACATTGGAATGTCTTGATGCTATGGCAGTGCAATCATGATAAGAAAGGGAAATAGAAATATAGCAGAAGAGCAATTTAATTTTTACCAGAGTTTCTACTGCCTGCATACAGTAAAGCAAAGAAAATGAAAGACACCTGGTTTTATCACACTGTGAGCTGAAGCAACTAAACTGATACTAAAAAGGTGGGAAAATTGGGAACGTATTTTACAGTATTTTACATCTACTTAGTAGGATACAAAATTTTGTAATTTCTCTATAGCTTGTATACTTTGACTGCTGTTCACTCAGCTTCACAACTGCACAGAATTTGAAATCAGGAAAGATCACTAAATCCTTCTTCTAATCTCTTATATCTTACAGTTGGCTATAAATCATTCAGATACGTCCACGTTAAAATTGATAATTTGGGTTTGACTATATAATTTCAGTCTGAAGAGATTGAATTTGCATCATAAAACAAGAACAGAAGAATCTGAGGCATCACCACTGCACATTACCTGCACCTGAGTATAAAAAAACATGTAGGTGAATACAGTAGGTGATCCACAACCAAAGATGTACAGAAACATCCAGAAACAGTGTAGGTGGCAGTCAATCTATTCTGAGGAGAAATGCTGTCTCATCCGAAGTCTGCCGACCAGTTTTGCCCTAAATACATTAGCAGGATTCATAATCCCAATGTTTGAAAAACGCTGTCTTCCCTCAGATCAGTTATTTGGTTAAATCAACAGCTTACCCTCAGCTTTAACCAAGCCTTGATGTCATCAAGGGAGATTTTTTAGTTCTCTAGACTGAAGAGCTGAGGCATGAAATCTCCTATAGACATTGTATCGAGTGGACACGAACCTGATGCTAAGTAAATATGTCTTGAAAGCAGAGTGTCCTGATCATTCAAAAGTCCAGAAGAAAGAAAACCTTTCTTTTTTCTCCTTCTACTTACTAGTCACAAAATTTCACACAGAAGATAGATTTAAACAGAGATGACCAATCTGTGATCTTTGAGCTATTTAAGGCTCATAAACAATTCAAAATTCCTTCCCAAAGCAGTTTGTTATTCAGTGATTAGAAGAAGCAGAGATCTGGTGAAATGGGAACTGTTGGACAATTCAAATCCCTTGTACAAGCAAATAAAAAATGGCTGATAATGTTTCTGCACCTGGATTGTCCAAAACTCCAATACACGTCCATCTCAGCCCTATCCAACGTGGACCAGTGGGATTCTATGAAGCAAATGACAACTGCAGCTCAAAGAGCTACCTCTATTGAGTTATGTGGTAAATGTCTTAGGGGATTTCAGGCAGCTGAAAGTTCTGCCAAGTGACTCAATGGGTCAGGAAAGTTGACCTTGTCTAAACTAAAGGCTATACCTGAGGAAAATATCTAGTACTTTAAAAATTGCAATAGGTCACAAGTTTTTTGCACCTATTGGCTAATTGTTTCTTGCTGCATTTCCCTTCACGGATATTGTTATTTGAAGACAGAACAATACCTCTTGGATATTCTTATTTCTATGAGGACCTGCATTGTCAGATATATTTTCTATTTGAAAATACTTATACATATTCAGAAGGTTTACTCAACCCTCTCTTTATTAAGATAGTAGCCAGTTTCCCTTTGGCTGACATAGTTTTACTGTTCTTGCACTACATTCACTCAAATTTTTAGAATTTTGAGCATAGGAACTTCTTGTATGTCTGAAGGATGACCATCAATCCTTTGAAATAGTCTGTCAACACTGTAATGCTAAACTGAGGTACAATTAATTCCCTTCTGCTACTTGATATAAATGCATGGTTTGAATAATCTCTCTTGGGCACTCTAGTACAGTGAGAGATTGTACAGGTACAATAAACTATTATATATAGAAACAGGAAAAGTCTTTGCTGGCCAAGAAGTCCCCAGTGAGGTGGGGTAGAGCTGGTTTCTACTGTCTCTGGAGTGGATTCTCATTGCGACTTAATTGCTGTCTTCCAAATTGCTGCTTTTCCCTTTTCATGATGATGTTTTCCTCTTGAATCCTTAAACTGTTGCTTAATTCCATCTTAAGACTGTTACCTCTGTCTGCCATTTTACCTTTCTTACCTTGCAGAAGTCTCCTTTATCAATTTCTTTGTAGTTCTTGATCAGAATTTAGCAATTTCCTCACAAGTCTGAGAGATGGTGACACAACTGTGTCTTGGATCACAGACAGCTGAAGTCCTGAGGAAGAAGGAAAGGAGTTTACAAACTCAAGTCACTATATATGAAATATATAACAGCATTAACATTATACCTGTACAGAAACTGAATCTATTAATATTGACTTGTTTCCTTGTATAATACTATTTAAATTCATATTTTATGAATACTCACATTCTATTCCATACAATGTGAAATGTCTAGATTACACAGGAAATTATGAGAGTTAAAAACCTGTCGTTCCGCTTCTGCCTAGTAATACTGAATTCCAATTTTTTGTCTATTTCACTATCCTACAATTAAAGCTCATTATATGTGGATGACATATAATGTCAAAAGGCCATCCTGGCCATCCTCCTTCCTCCAGATCAGATCAATTGTTACATATGCCGTTCTTGACAGGTGTTTAAGTTCTGTCTCTCCATTGGTAGTTTCTAAAAACAACGATGGAGATGTTTAGACTATCTGAAACACTAGGAAGTTTTTCTGATGTCTAACATGAATTGTCCTTGACATAGGTTAGACCTGTTACTCCTTTCCTATTCACAGCTTTCAAAATTTTAATGTTGCTTTCACAAATGTTGTCTGTCCTCTTTAGACAAAACCCAAAAAA